TAGCATATAAATACACTAGGTCCCCTAACCTCTTGGACAAGCTTTACACGTTTTTTATCCCCGAAGGGCTGGATAAATTCGGCCTCTTCAAGCGAGAAAGAAAGAGAGAGATTCTTCTTCGAAAGAAAATTCGGTTAGCACCGTAAGGTCTTAAAAGAAGATGATCAAGAGGTTTTGGGAAAAATCTAATAAATCGCTCCACCAAGATTTATTAGAGTTCGTGTAAAGGTCATACAATAAAAGATTTGAAGGTTGTTATTCGAATCCCGTCGAATATATGTACACGTTCAACTCGCTGGAAATTTTCCCAATTTTATGTTCAATTCCCGCACGCAAGTCGCGCCCAGGTGTTTCAGTTCGCGCATTGGTCCAGATTGCTGTGGCCAGTTATAATTGTCCGCGCAAGATTAGGAATAGAAGTGAGCACGTAGCGCAGCGGTCTTGAGCATGTATTCTGTGTGGGAGGTCACGGGTTCGAAACCCACCACCAGCAATTTTCCTTTTTATCGCCCAGCAGTGAGGAGAAGAAGTGCGCGGGCCAAAGCAGCCCGCTCGGCCCGCGAGAAGCCCGATCCCACACTCAGCTGCCAGCCCGCTAGAGCCCTCGTCCCAGCCCGCGAGCGGCCCTATCAAGCCCGTGAGGAGCCCAGCGTGTCCCGGCCCAATTGCAATGTACCTCCGCGGCCCAAATAGCTGAAGCGCGGCCCAGAGACTTGGATACCAGCCCCAGACCGGTCCAAGTGAGCCCAGCAACTCCAGCTCGAGCCCAGCGCGTCTCCAGGCGGTCCAGACCAGCCGGTCCAGGAGCAGTCTAGCAGGTCCAGCAGCTCCGGTTCGTGTCCAAGGAGGTTCCCGAGTGGTCCGATGAGTCCGATTCACTTACCGAAGGTCCGAGACGATCCGATGAGCTTGATGAGCAATTGGAGCACCATGGTGACTCTATTAGAATCGAGAAAGGCAAAGTCTAGCCGCCCATTAGACTTTGGTGTTCAGACGATCTCCATCAACGGAAATCAGAAACATCTCAGAGTCGGCAAAAAATTTTAAACCGTAAGTCCTAATCCTAACTATAGATTCCGCTGCGTTAGGATTTATTATTCAATAGATTTGAATGTGCACATTGTCGACGTTCCTAATAGAACCCAACAACTGGTATAAGAGCCCAAGCTAATTCGACTTTGTGCACTATTCGAATTAGGGCTTGCGTGATATATGTGAA